GTGGGGTGGCCGATGTCCGATATTCAGTTTTTAAGGCCGATACCGATAGGGGGCCGATTATATTGTGCATCCCTAGTAATTACTTTAAAATGATATACCTTAATTTTGTGGTAGTTACCAAATAAAGTTTTTGTTGTTACCAAGTATAATATATTGTGACTGACTTGTCATGTTTTTACTTGGTTATTGGTGTACTGTAAAACAAGCATTAGTGAATAATAGTGTATATATGTTGTATATGAAACTGTAAAGGGGAGTCTTTAGTAAAATTATTATAAAATTTAACTGAACAGTTGTAAAGCGGGGGGAATTAAGGACCTGCTCAGCTCTTCTACAGCAGCTGTTGCATTTAAAGTAATCAGTTACTCCTTCAGTTTAGACACAGAATTTTTTATTTTTTTTTAAATAAGCCAACTGACTGGCAGTGTGCAGCAACAGATGGTGGTGGTTCAGTACAGCATTACTCCGTATAACCAATCTCATGTATACTATTATAAACATGGAAGATCCTGGAGGTTTTCTGCTAACTGCTAATGCAGCCTCATCCTTGCGCTTTAACATTTTTCCATTTAGTAGAGAGTCTTTAAAAGCAAACGGCTGATTCTGATCACCGCTTACCGTCTCTCCACAGGTCTGCAATCAGCTTGTCGGTGGACTGGTTCAGCAGGGTGGCCACACACTCGTTCAGGGGGTCCATGTTTTTCATCAGCCACTCATTTGCCTTGTAATCCACCTGAAATAGGGAGGAAATTTAGATTTAGAGGTGAAGAATCCTGCTGCTTCACTCTGAAGTTACTGTGATCATCTTATCCTGCTAACAATAAAAAGGTTACAGGCAGCTCTGACGGTTAGTTTAGGTTCATCAAACCATCAAATACATGTCAAACTTGTTAGTGTTGCTTTAGGGAGGCTCAATATGCAACAAACCTATCTGAAGGAACCCATTTTTTATTTATCTAAATGATAAATATTCATCATTTGGGTCAATAGATTTTGTTTTTTTGTTTTTTGTAAGTAATATTTATTATATAGCACCTTTCACAGACATATGGGTTGGTTATCCTCCTGCAGCGGAGTGCAGCAGTGAGCTTGTCGCAGATATTTTTGATTTATGCTCAATATTGAAGCGTGGTCTGCGCTGTGATTATTCCACGTCACAACGCCAGAGGGACATTCAGGAACTAGCTGTGGGTCTAGATACCGCCGAGGCGGTGAGGAAGTGGGGGCAGTTTGTTCGACAAAGAAGGGACATTAGGGCAAAACAGACCGGATCCAGGTGGAAAAAGGGTCCAAGCATTATCGCGCACCTCACTCTTCTAGCTGGTCCATCTTTAGTCGTTTTCCAAAATGGCGGTCAGACAGACAAAACATGCTGGTAAGGTACCAAACAGGAAATACGCATAGTGTAACCAGGTAGTTTCCGACACACAAGCAGACTGCCTGGTTCTAAGTATAAATCAGCCTATAGAGGTGACAAGGCGTTTCACAAAATTACAATACAAATAAAAATCATTTACAGTCACAAAAGACAGTCATAAAACCACCATTAATCTACTAGAATTAAAAAGCTTTCTTAAACAAATAGGTTTTCAGTTCACTCTTAAAAACATCAGAGTCAAGTAAGCGCAAGTAAAGTGGAAGGTCGTTCCAGAGCGTTGGCGCGACCGCCTTAAAGGAGCGATCTCCACTGCTCCTGTAACGAGTACGAGGGACCATGAGCAGCTTCTGGACCTGAGACCTCAGCCTCCCAGAGGGGGTATAAGGAAACAACAAGTCTCTTATGTAGGAGGGAGCCTGACCGTGAAAGTCTCTGAAGGTCAACACTAGAGACTGACATTTTTTCGGGAGTAAAATAGAAAGCAAAAAATATCCAGTACTGGCGCCGCCATTTTGTAGTTTTTTTCCTTGAAGCCTACACTCTAATGCGAGTCAAAAAAACTACACGACCCAAAAACCAACAGTGCTTCCGCTCTGAGTTTTTCCACCCGCGCTCAAAAAGAACAAGAATGGGAGTGGGAGTAATTTCACCAGGAGTGGGACGGGACAGGATTTAGATTTCTACTCTGGCCCGCGATCGGGACAATTTTTTTTCCGTGGGAGTGGGACGGGACAGGAGTGAAAATCCACTCCCGTGTCAGTCTCTAGTCAGCACCAGGATTTTAAACTGGAACCGAAAAGAGACTGGGAGCCAATGAAGAGCTTTTGGGCATCTGGAGTTTTGGGTCACCCAGCTCTGGGGGGAGCGGGTCTTTGGCCCTTCACAACCTCTATTGAGCATTTTTCCGTTGCATGCACAAGTGACTCACACAAACAACTACAGGTGCTACAGATTCACTTCCACACAGAAAGCCCATATTCTTATCTTCAGCTACCACAGTATACATGTCAGATTAAATAATACTACTTCAGCGATAGTATCTAGGCAGTACTTTATTGTATCTCATACTATATTCATTGGTTGTGCTGTTCTTTTTACATCTCTTTGCAGGTGATGAAGCAGACTAAACACATTTTATCATAATCTCCCTTTAATCTCCTCTTTCATCTTTTCTTTTTCCTGTTTAAATTACATTGCAGAGTCCATACAATCTGTAATACTCCCTGCATGAATTATAATACAGTTATTTATATGCATAAATAAAGCGGAACCCCCATTCCAAAGGGGTGGACCCGTTCGTCCGTTTCTATTTGCATGTTTTCAATAAAGCGATAGCCGTACTGCTCCACTTGTGAAAGTAAAATCTGTTTGGCTCTTTTTTGGCATCAAAACAATTATCCTTATTGCCACAACGCCAGACAGGAGACTGTTAAAAAGGAAAAGAATCAGTGTTATATGAGCCCTTCTGTCTGTACGAGTCAGTAACTTCGCCGCAGAGTTCTGAACCTGCTAATTTATAGATTTACCTCATCTAAAAAGGTTTTTAAAAAAAAAACATTTATTCACTGGATAATTTTTATTCAGCTTGAGCCGAACATTTGATG